CCCCCTCGAAGCGGTTTTTGTCGCTTTTTCAATTGCTTGTCTGAAGCGAGATTGCAATTCGCTCTTGGACAAGTGTTTTCACCCTGAACGCGTCGACGTTAACGGACGGTAGCGCGTCGCAAATGTGGTTCTGTGCGAAAGGAAATTCTCGAAAAAATTCTTAAGAGATCTCTATATCGCAGTTCGCGGTCGCTGACGGCCGTTTGAATCATCCGGTATTAAAAAAATAGAAGACGGTTCGAGTTTGACATTCGCGAAAGCTTCTCTTACAATTTGCAGCCGACTTTTCGAGCTTTTCGAGCGAGTGAGCGCGAAATCATTCCAATTTTGACGTTAGAGAAAGAGAGAGAGAGAGAGAGGGGAGGGGGGCAGATAGGAAGGAAGAGAAAAATCAGAGATTACATACAGCGGATGATTAGACGCGAGACAAGGAAGACGACGAGTATGCATAAGCGAGCGAGCGAGCGAGCGAGCAAGCGAGCGAACGGACGAGCGAGCGAGAGAGAGAGAGAGAGAATGAGGATGAGGATATGAAGCATCACATATAGACATGCGTATACACATTCTGTCATACATACATACGTACATGCACACATACGCACACTCATATACAAACAAATACACACAGAGAGCGTGTGACAGAGACATATACATTTTTAAATAGAATACGCTACGTACATAAAGATACATAAAATACGTCTACTGCGCGACGAGGTGGTCCTCGAAGAGCGAACGAGAAAGAGAGAGAGAGAGAGAGAGTATTAATTATTTAGATTATTATTAGAGAAAAAGAAAATGAAGAAGATGAAGAAGCAAAAGAGGAATAAGAAGAAGAAGAAGAGCAAGAAGAAGAGCCAGCTCGTCTCAGCACGGTCGTATCGTCACATAACGTAGAGACATTATACATACTTTTTTTTTGCAAGAATATTATTACTTATAAATACGTCATTATATATATAAATATAAATATAAATATATAAATATAAATATATACATATAGAACGAGAGAAAGAGTGAGAGAGTGAGTGAGCGAATCAGCGAGTGAGAGAGAATGATCGACAGAGAGAGAGAGAGAGAGAGGATGTAAGAAAAGTTGAAACTATTCTACGGAAAATAAAACAAGAATGAAAGAACGTGAGAGAAAGAGAAAGAGGGAGAGGAAGAAAGAATGAGTGAGAAAGAGAGAAAGTCATTCTCATTTATATATAGTTTTAATCACGAAAAGAAAGAGAGGAGGCGAAATCGACGCGAAAAGAGGACTCGATATCGATATTTAAGAGCGCGAAAAAGCCTCCCTTTTTCCCCTCTTCCTATAAGAGAGAGAGAGAGAGAGAGAGAGAGAGAGAGCATGTACGTGGGATGTACGAATGAGAGAAAGAGAGATATGTCGCTTTTAATCAACCAGTTCTTTTCTCCTTAATCGAATTAGTTTTTCTTGTGCGTATAATACTTGTATAGATAGGTCATCCCCCTCCCCCTTGTTTCGTCTTCTATTCTCGTTCTTCGTTTCGTTCTCGACGTGAAAAAAGAAAGGTAGAAAGAAAAGGAAAAACAGCACCAACAAGACTACTATTACTACTACTACTAATACTATTACTACTACTATCGCTAATATTAGTATCATTATTACAACGCGTCTTCGTTTATCGTGATTTGACGATAGGGAGAAAATGAGATAAACCGAAACGTACCAACAAAAGAGAAGAAAAGATAGAGCTACATTTTCGATGACAAATAAAGAAAACAATGTTGAGAGAGAGAGAGAGAGAGAAAGAGAGATGGTCGAGGAAACGAGCAACACATTAATATTATAATTAATAATAATTATAATAAATACAATATTTGTACAATAATCGACGGTGCTCTCTGTGTGTATGCGTGTGCGCGTGTTGTGTGTATGTATGTATGTATGTATGTATATGTGTGTGTATAGCATATAGTTGATTATATACACGCTGCACGCCCGTGTCTTACGACGCGTTCATCCTCCTCCCTCTTTCCTTGATCATAATTTACAGTTTGTCGTATAATTTGTAAAAAAAGTTGTCACTTTGCGAAGCACGAGCAAGGGTCCATTTAAGAAATTACGAAATTATACTCAGAATATTGAAGGAAAATCCGTTTGTGTCCCCGCAAAGTGATCATTTTTGTTTCGGACGGGCTGTGTTCTTGCGTGACAAGCTGCGTTTTGCGACAGAAAGTACTACACATAAGCGGAAATTCGGCGAAAACGAAAGCATGAGGACGAGTTTTCGCCACTTGAGAAACTAGCTTCCTTCCTTCGGTCTTTGCTTCGCGTTTTAATTTTGAAAGATCCGGCGAAGCATCGACTCGCTTCACTTCGGGGACTGGAAGCACAGTGTGCTAATTATCTACTTATAATTATACACAATTATACACTCGTCTTTAAATTACAATGAAACGTCGACATGAGCGCCTGCTGCAGGACACGCGCTTCCAATGGAAGTTGAAGAAATGGCAGTGCTTCGGTGCGTTGACATCTCATCATCAGGCCGAGGAACCCGCTCGACGTTTTCCGATTCTTCAACTTGTCATCTTCGTATCGACCAGGCAGAAGAACACCAACAATTGAGATACAACTTTCATCAATGACAACGTCGCTTATCTGGAGTTGTATAAATTGCCCGACAAGTGGGAACAATTATTTCCAGAGAAACCGCTGCGAGGAAAAATAAAAACGGTATATAAATTGAATTGTATTTGCATTTCATTCGGATCACCTTTTCTGAACCCTGTTCTGCTGTTTACTTGAAGATCAAATTCGCCTGACTTGTTGAAAACTATATACTGTTTGGGAGAACATTTAAAAGTATTATTTGATTTTATTCGTCATCGATTTGAATTATTTATATATACAGTATAATATTTATTAATGATATTAATTAATATTAATATATTAATAATTAGAAATATTAATAATGATTTATTTAAAGTTATATTATTTAAGAACGCAGCGTATCCGACCCGATTACTACGTTCTTGATTTTTCGGTAAAAACAACAGCGGTTCGGTAACTGAGGCTTTGGAACTACATTTTGCTTGATTCTTCCACTAATGTACCGCTTGCTGCCATTTCTTGGTGTCGGGTGCAATTTTTCGTATCTCCGAAACGCGGTGACGGCTACGTGGCGCCATTTATTAACCATTGCTATTGAGAAACTTGTTACACGCAATGGGTTTGAGTCCCAACTAATTAAGGTTTAAGTCTTGGCTAAATGACTTTGTTACTTCTAAAATGTCCGCTACGAGTCACTGTTGTCTTCAATGAGAATTCGAAATTGTAGTATGTCTCAACGATAAGTCCGTCAGCAACCCCTTTTTATTTCTAAGTGGTACAACTCAACAAGATAGTCGTACTTTTATACGAGCGCAATTCTTTACCACCTGTGTCGATAAATGCTATTAACAATTTTCTTACAAAAATTATATATACATATTACACAAACCGTTATAAATTTTAATAATTGATATTTTGACTATGTAAAGGTATATTGAATGAAAATCGGTCAAATGCAAGTTGACTTATTTGCGATATAGATTTACCACGTTAAAACTCTCGAAATCGATAATTAATCGATTGCGTCTCCTCTTGCAAGATATAAAAGAATAAAATATGTGTGTGATATTATATTTTTTATTGCAAAAAATCAAATAAAAATTGTCCATATTGACATTAAATTACATGAAAAAATTAAACTGGAAAAAGTGAATATCTGAACGAGATCAGCTTGAAATAATTCAACTAAAATGTAATTATCTTGTAGTTTTAATGTCGTATGTTCTTTCGATAAATTTTGGAGACGTCTGTCTCGAAGATGTCCTTCGAAAGTCATTTCAATGGCGTCTTCGAAAAACTTCGTTTATGTCTGCCAAATATGTTTGCGTTGCTTTTTGGGATGTAATATACATATATATTTTTTCAGTATAATTTATAATATAATTTACGTCTCACAATAATTTCCGTTTTAATTTACAATACAACTCGCTGAGTTCGGATTTCGATGTCGTGGGCGCACGCGGAACAACTCTCCCGCGGATTTATTCGCGACGTCGGAAGAACGCGACGGTTCCTTAGCGCGAAGTCTCTCCCTCCTAAGCCGTAGTCGCCCAAGGAGAATTAAATTAGATTACGATAATCGTGCCAATCACAACACAATCAAATTACACTGGTGTTTGTCGATCCCTCGCTTCGTTTGCGCGGCCGCGTTGTTGTCTGAAACACGATGATTCCAGGCGTGCGATCTTCCTCCGGACTCGCGCGTTCGGATACTCTCTAAATTTCTTAGGATAAAAACTTATTGAAAACGAGTGAAAATTTACTCGAATTGTAAAAGTGAATTTCTAATCTTCCATTTTGGAATGGATCTTGATTCCATATATGAGTGAATGTTATCAATCGATCACAGCGATTTCGTCCCTGTTACGATGGAATACATCAAATTGGCTTTTGAACTTTGAGTGAAAATATTCACTCAACTATTTAAAGTAAAAAAATGCTGTTGTGTCGACTTCATTGGTAAACAAATCCATAGTTGAAGTCAATTTTCTTGACTCAATAGAGTGATATCATTGAAATATATACTCGAGTTATTAAAACAATGTATAATGTATTAGATTCGGTAATATTTCTTTGCTACTGAATCAGGAAGATTTATCCCAATAATAGTGCTGTGACCAATTTTGTTGGTATAACTGTATTTTTTTTTTAATGAATGCTTCACTCTATGAGTGAAAAATCAATCGAATTCTAGTGACTCAAGCTCTGCTGTCCTTCGCGTGAAATTTCGCTGCGAGAAATTTCGAGAGTACGTTCCCGAATCAAACTGTAACAATGACGTATTGCATGCGGTGCGACAATCATCGGATCGCTGCACCGGCGATTTTACGCGCGGATCCGCGCGCTACCGTTTGTTCGCGGATACGCGTCGCGTTACTTTTCCGGCGAGTTGATGCCTAATCGGATCACAGGTATTCGACAGCACCTGGGCAGGTGACGCGCCGCGCCGCAGTTGTCGCCGATCATCGTCGTCGCACTGCCGGACTGTGCCAGCGCCGGTGCCGGACTGTGTCACGTCAGGGAGCTGCCGTGGACTCTCATGTGCCTATTGAGATTACCGCTTTGACTAAATCTAAGCAGACACAGCTTACACTGGTACGGTTTCTCACCGGAGTGAATTCGCAGGTGCTTGGTAAGCGTCGAGCTGTCGGAGAACGCCTTCTTGCAAAACCGACACCTGCAAGCAGTCCGAAAGAAATCAACGGTTGACACACGCTAAAGGAAAAAAAAAAAGAAGAGAAACAATTATCAAAACATTTCCGGGAGGTCTCTGGAATGTCTTTGGAACATTTTTTATATGGGGATTTAACAGACCGTTAGATTATTCAAGTATATGCAATTTCTATCAGCTTGTTATAATAGATTTTTGATAACAAGAGATTCTACGAGATCACGAGAGATATTTTGTTTTCACCTATAAGGTCGTTCGCCCGAGTGCGTCCTCATATGCGTGGTGACCGAGCTGCTCTGCGAGAATCTCCGGTCGCACACCGGACACCGGAACGGCTTCTCGCCGGAGTGCGTCCTCGCGTGCGCCGTCAGGTTCGCCGCCTGGCTGAACGCCTTCGAGCATGCGTGACACCTACGGGAGCGGAATACGCATGATTATTAGTATTTCAAATAGTGAGAAACAAACGAAAATCGAAGGTGTTGTGATACTCGAGGATACGAATATTGCAATGTTAGAGATAGCAATGAAGCAATTAAAGAGAGAATGTACACTATTGTTGTGCGTTCCAAATATTATATGTAAGGTATAGAAATTGTAAATAGATAATCAGTCTTTTTAAAATATATAATATCTCGGATATTTTCATAGAATTTTAGATTGGTCGATCATCGGTTTAAAAATTCTTTATTTTCACTCTTTCTCTCTCCCTCTCTCTCTCTCTCTCTCTTTCTTTTTCTCTGACGAATTTGAAATCTTATGAAAATATTTTAGATACTTTTTAAAACGCCGACTTCAAGAAATCCGAGAAACGGTGAAAAATACTGTGAATATTTTGTAAACTTTTATCGGAATATTTACGAAACATAATATTCAATTTATGTAAAAAATATGTGAAAAAATGTTCAAGAAAGCCTTAAAAGTTTTGTAGAAGTTCTGATTAGAGAAACTTGAAAATTCTTTAGTAGAGACTCCAAATGGAAAATCTCAAGTTCTTTGTGGGAATTCTAGGTCCTAAAATTTCCATAGAAATCTAAGTAATATTCCAAGAATATCCCCCGAAAAGTTCCAAGAATATTTTCTCCCCGCCGTGTCACGCGGCCGAAGGGGATGGTCCCCTCCACGAACCTGAACGGCTTCTCGCCGGAGTGGGTGCGCAGGTGAGTTTTGAGGGTGCTCGGCCTGGCGTACGACTTGCCGCAAATCCTGCAGAGGTTCGGCCTGCCGTTGTCCTCGCCGACGCCGCCGCCTACGGGGTTGATGCCTGCGGCGACGGTCGCCGGGCCGGCGGTACCGACGCAGATCGTCGCATGCTCACCACCGGCGAGCTGCAGCCGATGATGCTGTTGGGGGTGCGAATGGGGGTGGCCGCTGCCGGTGGTGGCGATCAGGCTATTGGCGGCGGCCGGCGCGGCCGAATTCACCCTCGTCTGCGCTGCCGCCTCCACCGGATTGTATTGCGGGGCGGGACTCAGAAGCGGTTCCACGCCCCACGCCGACGAATAGCTCTGCTCGTACCTAGTCGCACACACGCACACACACACATTTACGTTCATACATACGCAGATATATACGAAGATTTACGCACACGTATGCAGGGAGGAAGAATAGGGGTACGATCGAATAACTGTACACTGGCGGTTGTTATGAGAGGGAGAGAGCAAGATGGCCGCGAACGAGCCGGGGATGAATACACCTTCGTAGAGATGGCTGAAGAAGCCCGAGGTGGGTTACGGGAACGATGCGACGGGGGTGGAAATTGCAGACGAGAACATTTCGATACTATGGTGGAACAAGGGCGGATCGGAGTTTTCTTTTTGAAGTTCATGGCTATTGTTTCACGGAAGGATGTGCGTCGGGGTAATCAGGAAGGGATTGGATCGCACGGGGAGCTCTAGTCAAGCCTTGAAAACGGACCATCGAGAGATAAGGCTGGAGAAAAATTGAACCCATACCCCCTTTCTCCAAAAAAAAAGGGGGGGTAGGTATGCATTGTTTCTTTTTCCCCAAAGAGGAAATTGTATATCGACGTTTGAGGGGTGGGATAATTTTCTGACACGAAAAAAAAAAAGGATCAAAGCAAAATCGTGATCTGGAAAATTGGCCGATCGTTCTCGTCCTTGAATCTCGCTTACCCGGAGTGCATGTTCATGTTCATCGTCATGTTCATGGAGACGTTGACGGACATAGCCGGCGTGGTACCGTAATGGGCGCCGACCGGCGGCACCGAGCTGGGTCCCAGATTCTGCACGTAATCCTGCGGCGAATAGTGATGGCCGGCGGTGGCGGACGGCCCGGTGGAATAATATCCCGCCGTGGGACTGCCGGGATGCACCACCGCGTGCTTGAGCGACAGCAGGACGTCGGCGACACCCTCGCCATTCGCGCCGTTGCTTACGCCCCTCGGCATGCAATCGCCGCGCGTGCAGCCCCAGCTGGAAGAACCGGAGAACGAAACGATGATCGGATCACATTCATAATCGCACTGGGTCGATCGAGAAGCCGGAGATGGAGATGTTCTTATGAATGCAGACGCTTTATCCTCCACTTGATGATAACTCGTTAAAGACCGGGAAATATTTGGCGTTAAATTCGACACAAGATGAATATGTTGAAAAGTAACACAAATATTATGCTCCAAATTAACGCCAGATTAATACACATTAATCAACATCGAAGTATAAAATACGTTATTTTAACACTCGCGCACATTAAATACCGCCCATCAATTTGTTAACAAGCAACACACGACGAGTGAGTTATTTCGATTTTAAATTTGAAGCGGACCTTCCGGGATACGTAAGAAATCATAAAATTAACATTTTATCTTCACCGTGTGATGTAGAACAAAAATGTTGACTCGAAGAGTAGCTCGCGAACAAGGACGCGTCGGGAGACGCGGCTTCCTTGACGTAAATTAATTTTCTTCATCAGACCCATCCCTTGAAGTTTGTCCCATAGGTTTCGAAATACCCTCTATTTCATAGCTTCGACGGCTAATTCTTTCTCCGAGTGCGTAAAACGTCTGCTATCCCCGGAATTATTTATCCCCGTGCACTGACTTCGGCATCCCTCTCAATCGAAGCGCACTCACTTGTACGTGCCCGAGCACGGGCTGAAGAGGCCAGGGGGCAACGGGTCGAGGTCGAGCGGGGGCAACGGAAAGCCCGCCATGTCGTCGACCCAGAAGCTCGCGCCGAACTCGCTCACTTGGCCCTGACCGGCACTCGAGAGCTGCTGCTGATGCTGCTGCTCGATGTCATCCGCCGGCGAGCCGTCCTGCAGATCCTGGAGACGCAGCGTGCCTTGCAGAGCGCCGAGGGCCGCTGCCGCCGCCACCGCCGCGGCCGCCGCCGCCTCCTCGGTCTGCTGGCTGCCGCCGTCGACGGTTAACGCGGCCTCGTCGCCGGAGAGCACGCTCAGCGTCGTCGGGCCGCCGCCTGTACACAACCCGGACGGGATCGTCGCCTCGATGCTGCCCACCGAACCTGCGGAACCCAATCGAATTAAGGCCGATTTCTACTGATGGGCCACGAAGTGGAGGTCCTAGGTGGGGTTTCTTCTTTGCCACGTCAGGGTACGTCGGGATACCCGATGGCACTTTCGAGACGGAAGTTGCGCCTCTGTCTTGTATTTCTGTATCCGTCACTTGTATTAATAAAGTTTATTATGGGATCGGTTGTTTACTCGATATTTGCGCGAGGACTGCAGTCGTGAGGTTGACAGCTAAGAAATGTTAGGTAGATTTGAAGGTCCCACTGACGCTCTGATCGAGTGTCGATATGAACAGGAAGAACGATATTTCAAATAAAAGTACGTTGGATAAGCAAATCTGTAGCTTTCGTGGGGAAATACATATCGACTCGATAAATATGACAACTTACGTAAGAAAGGGGAAACGAGAGGCGGAGAGACGCTCTCGGTCGCGACTGCAAAGCGAAAATAAAAAGACGCAGTATTCCATAACGAATATAAATATGATATGCCCTTTTCTTCTGTGAGATAATATGAAGTCAAATGTTCACTTTGGATGAAACTTTGGAAAAGAGTTCGCGATAAAAGCAATTCCAACTTACGTTGAAAGATGAATTTGGTTGGATTTATCCGACAATTAACAACCAAAACGCGTTTTGGTTGAAGAGAACGAAATTCTACTTCTCATGAACCAAATCTGGTCTATGTAACGTTTGGTTTATGTAACCAGAAATTCCGTTTCCTTCGATTAAAAGGCGTTTGGTCATCAACTAAACTCATTTCTCAACACAGAAGCCAAACTCAGCGATAAATATATACCTTCTGAGTTAATTACAAGCTAACTGTATGTAAATTATATAAAATAATTTAATAATAGAAGCGTAATGTAAATTACATAAAATAACTCAAGTATGATCAAGACGAGACGAGGATGAGAATTTACGTTGAATACTGAAGGATCCACCTGTGCGGGAGCGGGTTGTTCAATCGCGTCCTTGATTATTATTTCACACCGTGCCGATCTCGCGCGCGAAACTACGTCGTCCTCGTCTCCCGGGGTGGAAAAACACCGGGCTCTGTCTCTCTTTTTCTCTCCCCTTCTCTCTCTTTCTCTCTCGCTCTCTCACCTGTACCGAGGGTGTACGGCGGTTCGGAGGTGTTGACCGCGTGATGATTCTGCAGAAACTCCATCTCTGCGAAATTCCCGACGACAGCTACCCCCGAATACACCCCTGTCCCCCGTGCGCCCCTCTTCGTGCAACCCTCGGCGGCCGGATCTCGGCCGCCTCTTCCTATGGAGAGACGCGCACCGCTGGTCCAGCCCTCCGCACTCCCGTCGTCCTGGTAACCGCGCGGCGCACAGCTTCACCGTTCCGAGCGGCTCGCCATCGACGCTCTTCTTTCGCGCGCTACGCAAGACAGACGCAGGTAAACGACTGATTAAGGAATCGCTCGATCTCGTCATTGACGAATGAGAATGAATTAGTCTCCTTCAATAAGGATTGTCGTTCGTATGAATCTACTGAGTGTCCCGATCATTCACTGCTCGTAATAAATAGGTAGAACGCGTATTGAAGTGGAACCGGAAAGTCTTCCGTCATATTTAGTGATTTTTGCAATAATTATTGAAAAAATTCATTAAAGTATATCAACTAACAAGTGTGCGAGAGGGATTGTAGGACGAGTTTATATAAGCACGGCTCGAGGCACATGTCTTGGGTTTGTTTACAATCTGCCGGGTAAGTCATAAGACATCCTGTATGACGATTCGTACGGTAGTGTGCATTAATAAATTGAATAGAGTGCATTAATAAATTGAATAGGAGAGTCCATTTTGTGGTTTTCGCACTGGTTATTAAAAAATTAATTAGAGATTATCGGCGAATAAATGCTACAGCGAGATCATAGCGAGAACGTATAATGAAAAATTGTATATGTGTGTGTATGTTGAATGTGTAGACACGATTCAACGGGACATGTTTTGTATTTGTTTACAATTTCACTCAAATTATCAGACACCCTCTATATCGTAGCCGATATTCAGATGAGTGTGAATATCGGTCATAACATTGTACTGAGGTTATCATAAATTCTCAACCAGAAAAATCTACAAAATATTTCCTTTAACCCTTTGCACTCCAGCCTAGTAATGCATAGAGGCTATTAGTTCCAAGTACATACCTATGATGTAGAAGAAAAATAGAGTCGTTTCAATAAAACAAAATTTTTATTTCTTAGCTATTTTATAACAAAACATATTCTAACTTATATTATAAAAGAAAAACATAAATTTTAGGACTTAAAATTTCTTAAAGTGCCGAGGCAGCAAAACAACCATGTCGCCGCTACGGCGACAGCGGAGTGCAAAGGGTTAATTTGCGTTAAACGCTGGGAACGTTCGGAGAAATGTATATAAAAATGTATAGCAAGTATATCAACTGCTTAATAAATTACATATATATTTATATATATTCCTCCCATATGTAATGCATAAATAAAATATTCTTAAAGAAAATACACTTCTTATATCATATTTATTATGAATATACTTGGCATACAGTGTGTTTCAGACGTCGCGATTTTAACTTTATCAAGAGTTCCCCTCCACAATTTAGAGTTCATTTTTTCTTACCGAAAACGTCGAAGCACCAATAATTTCCGAGATACAACGGATCGCAGAAGCAAGGTTTCTTGGAAACTAAACTACGGACGACTAAATGGATAACGAAATTAACTTTCTTCAAGTTACAACTTCAACTGGACTTTATTGTAACAGAATTTTATTTAGGAAATCAGCTACAAAGATGTTATGTTGAAAATTGAAAAGTCACTATAAATAACGACCTCCCTCGACATCTTCGACGAGGAAAAATTGTCTTCAAATTGTCCAGAGAATCCTTCTCGTAAAATTAAAGTCATGAGATCACTCGGGACACTCTATATATGATGAATATAATGAAAACTTATCAGTGGCATACACGTAAAATAGAATCAATTCGTCGTTCATACATATACATAAAGTAGATATAAATATATTTGTGTACGTATGACATACATTTTTTTTAATACATTTTTCCGTGTACGCACAAAGCGTCTTCGCTGAAATCGCGAAATGAAGTCTTACGAATCGCGCGATTTTCACAGGGCAAAGGGCAATTCTGCGAGTTCCCGGAAAATTAAAGAGAGAATTTACTTGAGAGGCATACAAATCTCTCTCTCTCTCTCTCTCTCTCTCTCTCTCTCTCTCCCTCTCAGAGTAGGTAACGCAAACAAAAATGCGTCATATCTCGTTTCTCGCACGCCGAAGTTATTTCTCCCTTCGACATTTTTTTTCCGAGGGAGTGTCGACCTTATGACGCTCACTGCGTCCTCTTGCAGGACAACTTCCCGCTCCGCGGACTCTGCGGAACGCGCTGTCGCGCTGGACCGTCGCGAAAATCGGCGGAGATCGATGAATGACTTTTTTATGAATGACCGGGGAGAGGAAAATGCACGTGCATACTCGGCACGCGCGTACAGACGACGTACCTTTATGGCTTGGAAGACCTGCCGGTCCGCGCTAGAGGCTTCTGCAGAAAACCTGCCGGATATTCCCATTCACAGAGCCGCGGCTCCATCTTCCCATATGATCCTTACGTGGTATCCTTCGCGGCTGAGCGAGCTTTATTCTCCACAGCCGCAAGATCTCCCCCCGGTGTCCTTCGGCCACCACCACACCACCACCACCACCACCGCTACAGGGAAGTTGACTTCCGCGTTCGTGCCGCGGCGGAGAGTCCGCGGGAGCGACTTACTCCGAACTCACGCGGTACCGCGCGAAGGGATAACGCGTTTCGAACGTTATCGGATGGTGTACGATCGCGCGTGACTTATTTACTCGAGGGAAAGTCCAAAAGTGTAAGTTCTCCCAAGTTCGCGATACCGCGCGAAGAGATAATTTTTAACATTACCGGGCGATCACACGCGACTTGTTTGCTTCGTGAAAAGGAGAGAGCAAGTCGTCCCAAACTTGCGATACCGTACAAAAGGATGATGCGTTGCAAACTTTATCAAACGGTATAATCACGCGCAACTCGTTCACTCGGCGAACAGTTCGGGAGAGCGAGTTGTTTCAGATACCGTGCGAAGAGGCGTTTCAAACTGCGTCAAAACTGTACGACCGCGCGCAACTCGTTCGCTCAATGGAGCTTCTTCCTTCGGTCCGGGTGACTTCAATTATGCGCGTCTCCGCGTCGCTTCGAGACGTTCATCGCGATGGGATTTTTCCACGAGGGAGAGGACGATGTTTTCCAATGTTTTGCCTTTAATTCCCCTTTTACCCGCGTTAAGAGTAAAGAGAAATCGTGTGAGGCCGGGGGAAAAAAACTAATAATCCTCTCTGTCGCATCCTTTTTTTTTTTGTATTAGTGATCCTTTGCAAACGTCGGCCCCCCCGTCGCGCACCGTCTTTATCCTTCGCACACACACTAATTTCCTGGCCTTTCTCGAAGTTTCCTCGACGTCCGGAGCTCTCGGCGGCAAAACTCGCGGCGGGTTTACGTTAACATCTAGTCATCGCGCAAGAACTCACTCGAGGTACGAAAAGCACCCGTCGCTTTCCGACGAAGACCGACCGGAGCGGCTGGAATCGTCCCCGAATCGCCTCGATGTACGAATCACTCGACGAATCATTTATTGTTTCGACAATCGCAACCGCAGGAAGACACCGGCGGACCTTCCGCTCCTCGGAGACCGCCCCTCCGACTTTCGGTCAAACGTCGAGGAGAACACTCTGCTCGCGACGGAGACACTGACGCGCGTTGCTGCCATGCTGGCAGGATGGCATGTCAATGTCTCTTGGCTAACTACGGATCTACCACCTATCAGCCACCCACTTTCTCTCTCTCTCTCTCTCTCTCTCACCCCTTAGCGGCTCACTGACTACGTATACCATCCGCGACCCCACTCCACTTCACGAGAACCCTGCTCTATCCCTTTTTTTCCCTCCCTCTTGTTCTCTCTTTCTCTCTCTCTCTCTCTATTTCTCTCTCAGTCTCTCAGTCTTCGTCCTCCTCCCTCTCTTCGTCTTCTCCGCTTCCACCAACACGTGCATCACACATCGCGCCGGGGTCTTACGTACCCCTCCGCTTGCGCAAAACGCAAATCGCTTGCGGACGGCGCGCCGAGCGACGTGATCTCGCATCTCTCTGTCTTCCTCTCGTCGTCTTGCGGAATAAAGTGAGTTTCACACGTGAGAAGAGATACCGCGAATCTGAATGGTATCGTATTGATAATCGCACGATACGAAGATGATGGTACGCGCGAGAAGATACATTGCGCGCAGGAACGAGTCGCAGACTTCTTACGGCTTGATGAACGAATCGACAATAAATTGGAATGAATCGTGTGAGTTTTACGAATTGACTGAGCCGACTCGGCGCCGTCGCTGGGTGCGCCGGCCGATGAACACGATGTCGACGCCGACGACGACACGGGACACTAATCGCTCATTCGGCGATCGGCGATCTTCTCTCGCATGCTACAGCGATGACATATCCTGGGCTCGCAGGAGGACGAGCCGGGGAACAGGGGGGTATTATATTTTCTCGAGATACCATTACCGCACCGATCACGGTGGTCCTGCCTGGCGGACGTGTAGCTCGGCCCTATCGATACCCCTTGAGATCACTGGCTTGTAATGCCTTCCTTTTCGTGGATTATTGACCAGTCAACGGTGAGCCCGGCTGCGAAAGTGCACACTCTCGCCTTCCCGGAGGACTCGCGTCAACGACGACGCGATCATGCGAACGCTCACCGTGCCTGCGATACCAACGTCATAAGGGATAGCTTCGCCCGCCCCAGTTCCCTCGACGATTGAAATTCACGGGTCTCTTATTGTCATTCACATCATCTTCCTTCAATGAAAAGAAAAAAAGAACCTCAAAATAAAACTTGTTTATCGAAACAGCTGAACGAAGTTTTGTCATTTTCTAGGAGGACACATACCGCATTAAAGCAAATGTTATTTGTTTGATGTTTCAGTTAAAAATAAATTTAAATAAAAATTGATCAAGATCAAAACTGGCACAAATCAGAATTGATTTTATAACAAATTCGGTGGGAGAAAGTGATTAGTCATTAAGTAATTACCACAGTGTCGGTACTTATAATTTCTCGTCAATGTCCTGGCATCGTTTGTCTATGACTTTATCATAGAA